TCCAAGCAAGCCGCTACATAATTTTAGTAGCAATTAAATATATTCTAATTCAATTCACCACACAAGAGCTACTAGCTACACAAGGCTACTATAGTTCTAGCTAAACTACTGAAGCAACTAACTAGCTACTTCTACAAACTAACCAACTAACTACAACTAGAGCTAGCACTAACAAGCAACTGCCACATAAGTTAAGGGTGTGTTTGGTTGACCTAGGGCTATGGGAAAAAACTGTTGTGGGATGTGGATCCAACACAAGGAGCACTCCAAATAGTGGAAAAGTCATGAATTAGTAATGTGAGCTATAGAAAAGTTGAAAGTCAATCATTTGGTTAAACAAGTATAAAATATACCTTCTATCTTTATCTCTCTTGAAACAACTATGGAAGAGCTTTTTATTCCACCAATTTCAAAAAGCGTAAAATTTATAGAACCACTGCCAAAAGCAAAGCAGTGGTCAAACCAAACTTTCAAAAATGTACTATTTGAAAAGCAATTGCTGCATTGCCCCAAACACTCAAAAAGCAAAGCTCTCAGCAGCCCCTTTGGTTGGGCTTTTGACTTTTGGGGCCAAAAGCCAAAGCCAAAAGCCCAACCAAACGGACCCTAAATATGAATGAAATGAGCAAGTGTAGTGGGCAAGAGATAGAGACAACTAATTTATCCCCGAGGTTCGGTTGCTTGCCTATAACCTACGTCCTTGTTGTGGCAGTCTCGATGTGATGATCCGCACACTAACAAGTGTTACGAGCTTGACCCTCAATGTGGGTGTCGCAAGGATCCAACACAAGGAGCACTCGAAATAGCTACGAGCATTCCATTAGAGTTGCTCTTCACGATCTTCTGCAGGGATTAGTACAAGATCCCCTTGCAATCAATTAATCAGAGGCAGCAACAATCACCACAAGCCCCACAATGATCCCATGAGCTCTAAGCTAGCTAGGGGTGACGGCAATCACCAAGAGTAACAAGAACACCAACAACCACCATGCTAAACTAGTGCCACGAGATGCAAAACGGCGATGCAAATGCACTAGAGACTCTCCACTCTCACTCAGATGTGAATCAAAGTGATGTAAGAGTGTGGGGTGTGTTTCTTAGCTCTCAAAGGGTGTACACAAGTGCTAGGGGTGCCAAGAGAGTGCCCAAGGCTATCTACACCATCAATTTATAGAACCACTTGAGAATCCAACCGCTACCCTCTAGAGCCTACCGTTCTGAGCACCGGAGTGCTCACACCAAAGCTCCCAATGGCTAGTTTCCAATGGCAAAAAAATAGTCGTTGCACTATATGGGCACTCAAATACACCTTCGGTGGAGGCACCGGAGCGATCCAATGGGTGCATCGCCCCCAAACACTCGAAAAACATGCTCACTAGAGTCATTGCCCGGTGTGACCTCCGGTGACCACACTAGACGTCTCCTATGAGCCCTTTTGAAATTCTCGTGGCTCAGAACAACTAGTACCAGATGTCACTAGGTGTTGATTTACATGCATTTGCATTAGATTTACACCTAGCGGCACCATATGTCGGCTCAAACACCTCTGATAACCGTGTTTGCTTTTGAGCTATCTATCATAAAGTCGACCACACACTCTATTCTGTCTCGTACAGTGAAAACAAAAACCTTTAACATATACCTGTGTCTACGGGTTTGTTTCCACCTTTCCATCTCCTCCAAGCTAAGTGTGAGCTTGCAGTGGCGGATCTAGAAAAATAAGCCAAGAGGGGTTTATCTTCTAATCTTTCGTTCTTAGTCTCTCCTTCCAAACTTGAATAGGTATAAATTCATAGGAGGGGCAAAGGAGGGGATCCATAGTCGGAGCAGTGGTAGCGACGTCTCGAGCCCACCCCGCCCCAGTGCTGGATCTGCCTGTGTGAGCTTGCTCCATTTGGATTGATCAACCTCCATCCATCTCCAAGCCTTCCTCACCACCTTGGTGTGATCCTAACTTAGCTTAATCAACACTTAGCAAAAAGGTTAGTCTACTAGTTGTCTCAAATACCAAAACCAAACATAGGGCTTTCAAATGAAGAAATAAAAATGTGTTTGGTTTCGGAATTTTGAGGGACACAATGGATCCATTCTAGGTTTTTGGAACGAAATGGTTCCATCTCAGTGTTTTGCTGTGGGATGGGGACAACCATGTTCTTTGTTTGGTTGGAGGGACACGAATGAACAGGATAAAATCACCATTTGTGATCCATTAGACATCCGTTGGATGGGACCCACATGTCATCCTCTCTATCTCACACACGCTTTATTCTTCCTTCCTCCTGCCAACATCTGTCGCAACCCATCGCCACCATCCCCTACACTGGCCATGGCCCCCAGTCCGTCATTGCCCTTAGCCCCGGGCCTTGTTGCCTATCCTGGCCGTGACGGCGGACACACGCTAGTTTGAGGCCGCCCGTCACTACTAGAAAAATGATTTTAGGAGACAACCTCATTGATTAACGAAGGCGGACACACCTAGAGACCGCCTCCGTAAATGGTCAGGGGACCTCCATAAATCAATTACACTGAAAATCATCGATTAACAGAGGCAGCAGCCTTAGGGCGCCCGCCTCCGTAAATCGATTTTCAGAGACGATCACCTTAAGATGCCTGTCTCTGAAAATCGCTATTAACAGGAGCGGACATTCTAAGCGTCCATCTTTAAAAATCGATTTTAAGAGGTGGATATATTAATATGTTTGTCTCTATAAATAGTTGCATCTAAAAATAATTCATAACTTTTTCATATGAACTTAGATGAAACCAAACTTTACATCAAAATTGTATCCCACGACATGACCTATAACTTTGTAGTTGAAAAGTTTTTTGTTTGAAACTGTTTAGAGTCCCAGAATATTATCTTAAGTTCATATATTTTGAAATTTGAAATTCAAATTGTTCAAACAACCTTGGATATTGACATGGTTTATACCAAAGTTGTATTTTTAACCACAATCTACAACGTTGTAGTTAAAGAGTTTTCTATTTGAAGTTGTTTAGAGTTTCAAATATATGTCATAAGTTTATAGATTTTAAAATCTAAAATTTAAAATTTCTAAACGAGCTTAAACGTTCACATAGTTAGTATCAAAGTTATAGTGGCCGACCAAATCTACATTTTTCTGTTGATAAGTTTTTAATTTAAAGTTATTTAATGTCTCAAATATTTATTTTAAGTTCACATATTTTTAGATTCAAACTTTTAACTTTTTAAAACAAATTTGGCATGGAGACACATCATATACCAAAGTTGTAGTGATGGCAAGATTTAAAACTTTGTAGTTGAAACTTTTCGTTTGAGTTCATTTAGTAGTCAAATTATTCAATACTACAATATTACATAATATTTGTTAAAAAAGATAGAATCTTATATATATTCACGGGTGATTTGGTGGTGCAGTAGTAAGGAGATGTAGTTGTTGAGTTGTATGTCATGAGTTTGAGTCCTAGGAAGATGGTGAAGGGCCCCTTTGCAAAGTATGGAGGACAAGATGACAGTTTGCGGTGACCGGGGGGCTGGGATCGAAGCTTGTCCAAGCGCAGCCCGCAGAGGAGCTTGCCCATGTGGCTCACAAAGGCTAGAGCGGAGCTCGCCTGCACGCCTCACGGCGGTTGGGCGGAGCTCGCACGTGCACCAGGGCGAAGCTCATCCGCCAAAGATGCCGGAGCCATGCTCGCCATCCTCGGTGTCGCCGCCTAGGAACAAGGTTCCGGGGGCGAAGAAAAGGGCGTGGCATATATGGTGTGAATAGAGCAAATTCTGGCACAAAAGAGGCAAAATCGCGCGCCCTCATCTTGATACCACGCCCTCGCCTAGAGACGAGCGTGCCATACAACACTGCTCTCGGCCGGTCATAGGACTTGGGAGCACGCGTCGAGCTCGTCGTCTCGTGAGACGCCTAGTCTACACTCTCTTCTCATTAAATAGGGTTCGGCGGGGGTTTTCTATTCGCAAAAATACACATTACACATACGGGCTCTATAGACATGTTGTCCAGCTTACAATAAGTTATATTTGATTTATGTTTGATCTATTTTATATTAAATAGCAACATATGGTATTCACGATTGATCATTACCATATACAAGCACTAAATGACTTGCAGATAGTCAAATAGACACCTCATTGTACAGGTTGTTTGTTTAACTGTTTGTGTTGCAGATTCAAGAATTTACAAATGACCCCTTGCTTCTACGTTGAACATGTCCTAAGCATATATTTCATCTTTTGTTTGGATGGCATTTATTTATTTATTTTCATTAAAAAACAATTGCAAATTTTACAAATGTTCAGTAACTGTGGCATAAAATTTATCCACAAACTTTTAATATTTACATTTTTAGAAGTAGTACCACAAATTGATTATCTATCCGAACAGATCAAGTATATATTGTAGTACTTGCATCCACTCGGTTTATACATACACCCTGAGGCTCGCCGAGCGCAAGGATCTCCTATATACTCACTCGTCCCCCCAAAAAAGTGATGTTTTGAATTTTTCAAACAGATTAATGGAGAAGAGAAATGTCTCTAATACCCTTAGTTATTATACATGGTTCCCTAAAAGAAGGAATGTGGCGTGGTTTAGTTGCCTAATTAAGACACGTTGCATGCAAGCATGCAAAGATGCATGGGAGCAATGAAGGCCTGAGCAACCAAGGAAAGGGCCGGATCTGTAGCGCATGCAGGAGTCAACAAATTCTTAGGCCAATAGAGTGCCTAAAGCTCAAAACAACAATTTTTATGGACAAATTTTAAATCTCATGACATCATTTTTTTTTGGAGGAGGAGTACAAGAAACAGATTTTCCAAACAAATAATGGACAGTACCAAAATTGTTTGTTTATAATTTTCCTCTTATATAAACAGAAAACGGATATGAATCTAATGAAAAAAAAAACTGGGAATCTTTTTTCAAATAAAAAATAAACTAGCTGTTTTACACATACTCCGTACACGCACTTCGCTTGTCAGCACTCAGCACCACGGGGGCCGGCGGTTAGTGGTGGTGGTGGTGGCAGTAGTAACCGTAATAACAAGGGCAGTAATACGGCGGCAGTTCCACGACCTTGGGTTTCTCCGGCTGATTCTTCTCCTCCGGCTTCTTGTCCTTCATTTCCTCCACCTTCACGATGTCAGCGTGGCCGAGCTTCTTGCGCAGGCACGTGACCAGGCAGACGTTGTCGACGTCTACGCCGACCACCTCCAGCCGGTCCTTGCCGTCGCCGATGATCCCCATCGAGCTGACCCCTGCAAAACAGGACAGGGGATCGTTAGAACAAACGAACAATCCATGATGCGCGTGAGCAGAAGTGCAGAACTGCAGAAGCACATGAACATGGAGGTTAAGGGATGTAGAATGGTTGCCTACCGTCCGCTCTGGCGACCAGCGCCATGGCCTTGGACCGGCTCTTCTCGGACGACATGCTGACCTTGATCACGATCTTTTGCTGCGAACAACAAGGACGACGACGATGAACACGAGGACACGGAGAGTTGCGGAAAGCAGGGCAAGAAGGAGCAGAGACCGAAACGGCAGTGTCGCTGCCAGTTGGTTAGTCAGTTAGTTGGTTACCTTCATGTCGTGCTGCTGAATGCCGACAGACAGGGTATACGCGCTGCTGCAGAGCAGAGGCGAAGAGGGACAGGGCAAACGTACAGCTCCCGAGTTCGCGACCGGCAGGACTAGCTGCTGGCTGGGTGGCTACCCTGATCGCTGTTGCTTGCAGGTGAACGTGAGCAACTGGGCGCTGGCCAAGAGCGGAAGAACCGATGGACTTGTGAAGGAGCCAGCCATGGCTAGTCGATGGAGCAAAGCAGAGTGAAGAACGTTCATGGCAGGTCAGGTGAGCTTCCAATCCAAGTAGACAAGTCCTACTAGCTAACCGTGACCGGTTGACGCGTTCTCGAGGCTTCGTCAGTCGTCGGGTTCAGATCGATTTCTAATCGAAAGACTTTGGTTAAACATAAACGACGACTTGACTTGCTCCGGGCCGTGCCGGGCCGAACTCCAGTGCCAACTAGCCTCAGTCAGCCTCAGCTGCGCGCTTCTCCGAAGCCGCGGCTGCGGGCGGGCGGGCGGGCGGGCGGGCGCAAACCGTGTCCCAGGTGTAACGAATCAACGATCAGTGCAGTGCAGCTACTGGTGGTCCTGAATCCTGATACTGATAGCCTGCAGGCTCTGTCCATCCCGCGTCAGTTTGTGGATGCTAACAACAATATTTATGTGTAAACCACAATCATGCTGAGCTTGCAGTATTTGATCTTAGGGAGCCATTTCCAAATGGCGATTCAGATTCGAAAGTGGGATGGTTAGTGTGAACGTGCATGAGAACTGTGGTTGGCATCAGTACACCTCAAAGTTCTGCTCAAGTCAACACGATCATATTTAGTACGTAGTTACACTACAAATGTATGCATATATATACTACATCTCAAGAGTATGCTTAAACAACTCCCTAAACTCGTTTCTGGCTCAACACATGTAAAATCTCTCCTCCAACCAATCGGAACTCACAATCTTCAGGCGCTTGGGTAAACCGGCCTTCCGACTCCCAATCATGATTTTATTCGCACGATATTTCCCACCACCCTACTCTCTAGCTCTAGCTGCCGCAGCTTACCACTTGTGCACGCTCGGCGGCTCGCCCACGTCCTTGCTGGCCGTAGCCGCAACCAGCCGGCTGGGAGGTGCGGGTGCCGGTGGCTGGTTGGCGGCGGCGGCGGCGCTCGGCTGAGGAACAAATTATAAGCAACTGTTAGAAAAAGACACATAATTGGTTTCCTACGTTTTTTTTTTTTTTTTGCCAACCAGAATAAATGAATAATTCTACAGGTGGTTTTAGGAGCTCAAATGATTGGTTGCTTATCTTGCTGCGATCTAGCCCCCATGTACGTCGCTACCACATGTTCCTTTCAGTGATGTAAGCACGCTCGTCCGTCGTCAGCAGTCAGCACCACACATCAGACAAGCCAACAAGGCGAACCTGCGACTTTCCTTGGACTCCCAGTGCAGTCTCGAGTCGTCGCCTATAACGAACTGCGTCAGTCAGTCACAGTTGAATGGTTCAGAGCAACACAGTGTGCACCGTGCTCTGCGTCACAGAACAGGTCAAGTGGCCAGTCGGTCGCTGCCTCGCACGGTCGCACCGTGTTGCGCCCTCTAATTTTGACAAATCAGCCAGTCACAGTAAGGTGCTTGGTGGGTGCATTCAGCTCTTCAAATTTATTGAGATGACCAAATACTTGTAGGGATGACAAAAAAAAGTTAATAACAGAATGTTTCTTCTCGGTTGCTGTATACTTTAGAAAGTTAGGTTGTATACTGACTAAAAGAAGATCATTTGCATTGCATTACCCCAATCCAAATGGCAATGGCCCTACTGAAACTGAATAATAACAGAATGCTTCTTCTCGGTTGCTCCATCCACAGAATGACAGTTCCATGGGGGCCTCTTGGCAGGACAGGTGATTTCTAGTCTTAGCCGTGCCTTAGCAGTATCATCAATTTCGCCTCTGCTTCATCCTCTTTAAGTCAACAAGATGCTGATGTAGTTAGATCTATGGTCTAAATCACATTCACCAGAAGTCTTCACAAGAACAAGAGCCTCCACTGAAATGATGGAATCTGTTGGCATCTCGGACCACAATCTCCCTTTCAAACAGCTTGGAAACCAGCTTGGTGAACTCGTGGCAGTCACCGCAGACCCTGAGGTTCTTGGCTATCCTTATAGGCATGCCTGGACGAGTGCTGATCAAGCCAAATGCTATTGCGAGCCTCTCGCTGTGCTTATGCAGCATATCTATCTTCTCCGCCTCGCTCACATCATGAAGAACAAATCTTGTGTCCTCCACGTACCCACCTTCTTTCTGCAGCTTTTCTGTTATCTCAGAAAGCTTGAGATGGATTGCCTCCGAATCTCTATGACAATAATCTCCTGAGGTGAAAGTGTGGATATTGTTCCCTATCTCAATCCAACTGCAAGCTGGATTTTTTCTTAACCCCCGTTCTGCCATCCTGGTTCTAACTTCCTTGACATTGTCCCACTTGCCCATCTCAGCAAAAACATTTGATACAAGAATGTAGTTGCCTGGGTTGTCAGGTTCCAGCTCAAGAAGCTTATTGGCTGCAACCACAGCAAGGTCATAGTTCTTGTGGACTCGACATGCGCCAAGCAGTGCACACCACACAACTGATTTTGGGTCCATAGGCATAGACTTGATGAACTCGTAAGCCTCCTCTGTCTGTCCTGAGCGTCCAAGAATATCAACCACACAGGCATAGTGCTCCTGCCATGGTTTTAACCTGTACTTGCTCGTCATTATATCCAGATAGTGTTTACCCTCCTCAACAAGCTTCGAATGACTACAAGCATACAACAGAGCAAGAAAAGATACATGATCAGGAGTCAGACCAGTCTGCAGCATTCTCTTGAAAAGATCAATGGCTTGCTTGCCATGTCCATGCATACCAGTAGCATTAATCATTGCTGTCCAAAGAACCACATCTTTACATTTAGCCCGTTCGAATACTCTGATAGCATAGTTCATGCTTCCACAACCTGAATACATGTCCACAAGGGAACTAACCACAGGACCTTCTATAGGAAAATTCCTTCTGATAAGAAAGCCATGAACCTGTTTTCCTTTTGTCAACGACGACAAACCAGCAATAGCCACCAGAATACTTACTAGTGCTACAGAATCAGGTTGAATATTTGCCTTTTGCATCTCCGTAAACAAGGAAACAGCTTCATCTAATCGCCCGCTATTTGTGCAACAGTTTATCATACTAGTCCAACTAACAATGTCCTTTTTCTCTACCCTCTGAAATAAATTTAGTGAATGGTCAAACTCTCCACACTCCCCGTATATATCTATCAGTCTATTCTTCAGTATCAAATCAAGCAACCCATTTCTAATAGCATAAGCATGCACTTGCTTTAGCAGAGAGGTGCTTTTCAAACAGCTGCATGTTTCTAAAATACTTCCAATCATCATAGAATCCACCATAATCCCTTCTTTCTGCAATTCTAGAAACATTTCCAGTGCTTCAGAATGTCGTGAACTCTGAGCAAAACAAGCAAGGATTGTTGTCCATGATATGTGATCTCCAATACTCATGCTTTCAAATACCTTCGCTGAACACTCTATGGAGTCACACTTTATGTACATGTCCATCAATGTATTCCCAACCTGTAAATCAGTATGAAGCCTCTGCTTTATAGCATACGCATGAACCTCTCGACCATTGTTTAGCCTACTCAAATGTCCCAATGCAGAGGACAAGCTCACAACACAGGCATGATCAGGCTGAAAACCATGTTGAAGCATTTCACCAAAAAATTCAATGGCCTCCGCACAGAAACCGTTTTGGACGTAGCAGGACAGCATCGAATTCCATGATATGTAGTCTTTCTCAGCAATCTGACCGAATACTCTGAGAGCACTACCCACCCTGCCACATTTGGCATACATGACAAGCAAAGCGTTGAACTGGATGTTCAACTCACTGCCGCATTTGAGGAGTGCTGCATGTAACTCCCTTCCCAAACTTAGCAGAGCTAGCTCTGCACAAACTTGGAGCACCGCGACAGCTGTGTAAGAATTCATACCGAACCCGGCACTCTGCATCCCTCGGAACAGCGCCAGAGCTTCCAACGCCCTCCCGTTCTGCACGCATCCTGATATAACCGAGTTCCAGGACGCGACGTCCCTTGCGTCTTGCAGCCACTCGAACACCCGCAGCGCTGAATCCAGCAAGCCGCACTTGGCATACATCCCGATAAGCGCATTGGCCACGAGGGTGCTCCTATCAAGTCCGACCTTCACCGCCAGCCCGTGCACCTCGCCCCCGCAGCGCCCGTCCCCTTCCGCCCCGCACGCCTTGAGGACGGACGCGAGCGTGCAGCCGTCGGGCGCCGACCCCGGGGCCGCTGACGCCCGCATGGCACCGTAGACCCGCATGGCCTCGCCGGCGCTCCCGGACGAGAGGTACGCCCCGACAAGCGCGTTCCAGGAGAAGACGGTCCGCGCGGGCATTCCGTTGAACAGGCGGCGCGCGTCGTCCACTCGCCCGCACCGGCCGTACATGAACACAAGCTTGGTCGCAAGGAAGCCATCATCGTCTTCGTCCAGTGAACCGGTGGCCAGGGCGTGCGCATGGATCTGCCTGCCCTCCGCGTCCGCTCTCCTGGCGGCCACGAGGTCCAGCACCCAGCCGTAGTGCTCCCGAGCAGGCGGCGCCCGGGCCGTGAGCAGGCGCAAGGCTTGACGCAGGTCGCCTTCCTTGCAGAGCCGCTTCAGGGATGCCGAGGCGGAGTTGGGAGGCGATACTGAGGGTGCGGCGGGAGGAGTTCGGTGGGGGAGTGGTCGGAGGGACAGCGCGGCGGTGGCCATGGCGGTGGCGCGCTTGGAGGCCCCGGGGAGCCGGACGCTCATGCCTGTGGCAACGGCCGTCAGCGAAGATATCTGTGGATTGGATATGGCTCCTGTTCTCCGTATGGCCCGACGTGCCGGCCCAACAAGAAAATATATCTCATATATGGGCTGAAACCGAGGCCCATCTTGGAATCACGCAATAGTTCGCGAATCGGGCTGGGCCTCGCGGATCAGCCATTAGTGGAATTCCGTCATTAGTCCAACCAGTTGTAGTTCAGCTAATAAAAAAAAATGTAGTTCAGCTGGTTGAATATATTGTGGGAGAATCTGCCCACCGAAGTATTAAGTTTCAAAGAGCAATTCCAAGATACTCTTTATATCCTTTCTAATTAATAGAATATATATTTTGGTAAAAATATATTTTTCAATAGCTTTTTTTTATAAATGGATCTCGAAATATAAGCATTCTCTATTTTGGATTTTTTTGCTAGAAGATAGAGAGCGAGGATGACTCTAACTTGCCGTGACGCAGGACCGCACGGGGCTCACATTTTCTTAATCTATTGAGACAGATATAAAATAATGATATTATTTTATATAACTCCATACGTAGGATGTTTGGGACGGAGGGAGTATTGCACTCCCTACTTTAGATCAGCACGGCTACTCCCATGGTCTACAAAATATTACGCTTGCAAATTCCGGAGCTTCCCGGCCAAAACAAAACTCAATTTTCACAGCTTGGCTACTCAGTATACAAAATATTACGCTTGCTTTTTTTTAAATGAGAGGGGTACAATAAGAAACATACAACCCATACACTCTACACTCATAGAGGATCTAACCTCCAGTGCGCAAGAAACGCCCTACCACCAGACCAAAGGCTCTTACTAACTTTATTCCTAAAGTTATATTCCTTTCTAGTGCATAAAAAATTGTATTGTCGTCTCTTCAGAAAAGTCAAATGAAGCATAGTAGCCAATTTGACAATTGCCTGCTAACTTCGATGCATGTTTTATAAGGCGCAGCAAAGTTGTATATTCTCAGGTCTAACCATTAAAAATGCCTATGGCAACACAAGTGTTGAGTGTCATCACAGATTCAGTGGCAGAATCAACATGTTTTCGCAAACAGATTTGCTATACTCACTCCTCTCTCAGTTCTAGCAAGAAGAGAAAGATTGGACACCACCCATTTGAATACCAGTAGCACATATAACCATTTTACAGCCTTATCTGTTATTACAAAATACAAATTCAGTTCGATTAAAAAAAGGAATGCAACGCAACCTATGAATCCTGGAACTCAAGTTCCATAGTGCGTCATCCAATCTGATTTTGCCTCTGCCAGAATGCCAGATCAAACAACCTATAGCCTGGGATTCTAGGAACACATCCGATCATCTATGTCCAATGCGTAGGACAGTTCACAATGTCGCCTAAAGCCTACTGTGGATTGCTTCATGGATCATGAGCATCTGCTTTTTGTTCATCTCTTTGTGCAATATCCCCAAGAAGATCCTTAAGTTCACCCTTCTGAAGAAAATTATGACGCCACTAATAAAGACAATACACTAATATGCTAATGAAATAAATCAAAACGTGAAACTTGCCTGGTGCATGCTTAATATGATGTCAGATCCCCCAACAAACTCTCCTTTAATAAATATTTGTGGAAATGTAGGCCAGTTACTGCACCAGCAAAATAAAATTAACAGTGAGATTGATAGGGTGAACCAGGGGCAGAGCCAGGATTAGACTAGCACCTGGGATGGACAAGCAAACATCCTTTTGGCTCTAAAATTTTTACACTTTTTTAAGTATGCTTCCATGTATTTCAGTGCCCCAAACCAGGGCTGGAACACGGCGAGCCCAGTCCTGCATTTCTACACTCGTGTGCACAATTTTCTGATTCAAGCATATGAACCAACTGAACAGTGTCTAGCAATCCATTTCTTAGTTTCAAGCATATCAGTGCACAGCAAGTCAATTAAATGAAAACGAACATATGGATGATGAATATAAAAAGTAACGGGGCATAATGATGTACTAATACAAGACACGAACTGTTACTATTGACACTGCTTGGCATGAAGATGTTCCAAATCATATCTAAGAGGCTCAAAACAAAATGTCAACCAGATAATCACAACTCATTTTCATTCTTTTCTCTATTGTTTTTCTTTCTTTCTTGTTTGGTTAAAGCTGGTTCTTCTCTCTTGAAGGCAAACTTGAAGATCATTACCATTGCCTTATAACATCATGCAAAATTTCAATAATCTGCCTTAACATGGTTCATTGCCCATTCTGAGACACAAGCATATTGCTGCTTATTATCTAAAAATACATCATCCAGGAGGTATACAAAGACACTTACGTGTGGGCTTTAACACTCTCTTTGAGCTTGAGATCTCCAAGAATGTCTCTGCCACAGATAGGGACACCTGAAATCGATAACATAGAGCTTAAAGTTTAGAAAGTGATATTGATTATCACCTGCATTTGAAACAAATCAGTCTGTAATCTACTAATTAGAGCCAACCTACCATATTGCTGGAGGACCTTAACTGCCAGTGCGCTGAAGCCACACATTGGAGACTCAGGAAAACCCTTCATGTAGATCAAGACTGGGTTCTCCTTGATATCCTGCCCAAAGAAAGTGCTATTACAATGAAGAAATGGCAGCTCAAAAGATACATCAATAAGCCTCAGGTTATGCCTAGTTTTATAACAAGTTAGGTGCTTCGATGTTTAACACAAATATTCTTGAATCTCATCTCTGCGTGTAAATACCTGAGCAACGATGTCATGCAAAGACATGTCTGAACTTCTGCTGTTTGGCTCGAAATCTTGATGTGTATCAGGATCAGCAGCTACTCGTGCTGCAGTTGAGTTCGTGTTTGCATTAGGATCACCACCATGTGGAGACGAATAGTTCATAAACTGCTGGAAAGCTGGTCGGGACATAACCTGCTCTTCCGGTTAACATGCAGACAAGGATACTAAAATTAAAACAGAAACACAAACTACTGAGGGGCAAAATATAAACACTAACCGAACAGTTAATAAATCATTGTATAGTAATGTGTTGTTTCCCAAACTCATGGTTCATATCACATATTGAGTAAAACTATATAATTCGTGGGTGTTCTTAATCACATATAGGTTCTAGAAAACAAATTGGCACACATAAAACACAGCTATAAAAATTCAAACATGTGTAAAAGTTTCTTAAACAATAACATGCGAACAAAACTCAAAGTAGCAAACAGAGAATGATGGTAGTAACAAAGGAACAAACTCTCAATTGCGAATTTGCAATGAGAAAATAATATGTAATCTATACTGGGAATAGGCAGTTGCCCTCATTTCCCAATAGTACATTTGCAAATGGCATAACACATTACTTCATGGAAATCATTAGGAAGTATATACAGGCAACATAAGTGGTAACAATAAAGAAACTCACTCATTTCTATAGTTACAACGGTTCATTATATTGTCCAAACTCTGAACTCCAAAAATATGAAGGCAACTGTTAACTTTGATGTTATGGTACAGGAACAATGGAAGTCTGGAAAGTACACATATACTACAGTATTCGATTACACAATCCCAGAACAAAACTAATTCATTGGAAGCCTGAAAACTACGCATGTAAATTACTCAGTGACACATTTCAAACTCAATGTTTGCCATTAAAACAATGCACACACAAGGTCGCATACTAGCATGGACCTAAATTGCAGACAACAGATGCACTTGTAGTCTAGTGCTTTGGAAGAGGATAAAGAGGAAAACTACTATCATCATGGCTCTGCTGAACAACCTCGATGCGTTAGCACTCGAAGCTAAGAAAGATGCATGTGTATGGAGACCATCAGGGACTCGATTTGAGAGCCTTACAGCAGTTGTGCTCGGCAGTCCGCGAGATCTCAGGAGCCCTCTCGTGGCGAGGGCGGTCGACACCAACCTCTTCATGGTAGTACCCTGCGAACGGCGGATTCAACAACAAACAATGACATTAAGGAAGGTGATCCGCCAAACGAGTTGGAGAAATCAGCAACAGCCAAATTCCCATCGCAGCATCAGCGAACTCGTGCTGTCGTGCAACACGATAGTACGAACGACACGGACAGCGCGTGACCGACGGCGAGCTTCGCGTGGGGAAAGGGGTTTCGGACTTTCAGTCGGACCCTCCAGATTTTGTGGAAAATGTACTGGAACTATTATCCCCCTCGAAACAACAACAAATCCATGACCAACTAGGAATGGAGGATCCAGGCAAGCCAGGCCATGGTTTTCCTTACCAGCAATGGAAGGAGCCAATTCAATGTCCACTCTGCGGCGGCCGGCCTAGGAGGAGAGAGAACGACGAGGGAAGGGAGGATGGATGGCCACCGGAGAGGCGGAGACACAGACGAGGCGGCGTGCTTCGCTTCGGCGGACCGGCAGGGCCGCAGGCGTGTGCGTACTCACCTTCTCGGGTATATGGGCTGGGCCGCTGGGGAAACGGTGTTGTCTGTGAGAATGAATTATGCGCTTGGGCTTTTTTGCACAATTTGTTTCCGAGTGGATTTCCTATCCGTCTTTTTTTTTTGAAACCTCCTCCTTTGAGGGGAAAAAGACTCTATCTTACTTTTCTGAAATCGTTCTAATCTGATTTTCTTTCACCGGACTTTATAACGAGATATTTTATTCTCTGAAATATTAAAACCATTTAAAATTACCACCCTACTCCTGGATTGAAGTGGTGTTGAAGGCACAAAACGAGTATGTACTTTAAGGTTTTCATTGACGCTAATTAAGGTCACGCACTAGCAAGAGCTAGTGCGTTCGAAGCCGCACACGGTCTAGCACGTATCGGAGAAAATCTCAAACACATCACGACCAACCAGCATGATGGCCACACATATTTAACACCATTATTCATCTAAAAACCTCGTGAAGACCTCTTGAAAAGACACGTCAGAGAGGAGCACCATGAGATTCTCTAGAATCAGCAAGGACACCGAGAACATTAATGAATCTGGTCGAGAGAGGCGTTGGACAATATAAGACTAGAAGAGACAAAAGTGAGGGAAAATAGTTAGTAGATTGATTTTTGATCGACTGTGTTTTGTGATTGTGGACCTCAATCGGCACTGATATAGTTTGGAGAAGATTATTATATCTGCACATTTACACGTGCTAAACCCATGATTCCATTTTCCATGCAAGTCCGAACAGTGCGTTGGCCATCATGGCCCATGGCGAACCCACGATCGAATCGTATGCAAATGCATGCACGTCGAAGCTCAATTTTTGCAGAAGATTTAGCACAAACTGCATGACGACGACTCGACGAGGCGCCTGCCGTCTGCCGCCTGGGGTCATTGACGCCCACGTGTTGCGTGCCAACTAGGAGTACCACTGTACCAGGCTACGCGAGCAGCTACCGTGCTACTGTCTGGCGAGGTAGCACACGTGAACATGTCGCGCAGCAAGCACGGGGACACAGCACGGGGACGCACGCGCACCGCTGCAACAGTAGCGGATCAAAAGCACCACCACCACGTTTCTTGATGGTACCAGCGTGAACAGTAGCGGATCAACGGACATTTCAGAGCAATTTGCATGATACCGCACAAGAAACGGCCCAAATCCCATAGATGTTTCGGGTAACATATATCACTAGACAGTAGCCCACCTTCCAAATTCCCATGCTGCAAATAGTTGGACCAGGAGGATCATAGGCGCTTCTGGGCGATATTGGCATACCAGGCATTCAGGGCCCCTTCATGCCAACTGGCAACTACTGCCTTCCATTTCAGGGGCTTCTGGAATTTACAAAGGTCCACACATCATAGGAAACACACCGATGATGTTTGTTCTGTCTGATTTCACAAAACTGATTCGGCGATGACAAAATCTCGCAAACCCCACCAGTACTAAAATGACAAGATGCCGATTTAATCACAGGATACACGCACGTTCAGGTCAGTAAAAGGACAGATCGTAATGGCACAACATGCGCCCTAAAGAATATGCTGAGTTTGTGGACCAAAACCGAGAATGGATGAAGATGAATTTCTGGGGACAGGAGCATCAAGGGACCAATGCACACACACACACACACACACCCAAAAAAAAAATGCTCCTCGTGTAGACCATGGAATCTGATCCTCTGAGACCTATCTTAACAATGCAGCCCCTTTGCTTAATTACTTTGCCTTCTTGATGAGCATTGACGTGCGGAATTTGGCATCGTCCTTGATGAAGCTCCACCAGAGATAGGTGAGTGGAATGGTGCTTGCATGCCACAGTGAATGGGCGTCGGCATAACCCATGTATGGAGGGAAGTCGTAGAGTTCAAGAAGCATGGCCAGTGCTCCTCCAAAAACAACTGTCCAGAGCTTCAGCCGTGATGGATGCCGGCTTACACCAGCCCAAACTGCCCACGTCAGAAGTTGAACCACAGCCATCACCACACAAACTTTCATGTTCCAACCTGATAAAAGATTCGTCAGATAAACATATGAGTAGCATATCTAAATATGTTTGCACAGAGGCAGCCGGTTTCTGTGAACCAGGACGGAAGAAAACCATTGCTAGATCGTATGAGAACACTCTGTGATGGCTTTGGGTAACAGATAAATAGCTAGACAAAGACATGGTAAAACGAGATTACAGCAGACTACTAAATCTGTTAAAAGCAAAGCAATTGATATACAAGTCAGATTGCTCTTTGTATAGTGATGGCAAATGTTTAGCAACAGGTGAAAAGATACTTTACCATAGTCAAGCTCATAGAAGTTAAGATACAAGATGTGCGTCGTAACGAATGCCAAAATAGGGGCTGCAAACATCACCCTGGTAGCCTCATCCTTGACATTGAAAGCCCTTAGCAATGAAAGGATTAACGAGTAGCCAAGCAGGGCCACAGGTGAAGAATAGTCCAATTTCTCAGTCAAGTCAATGTCTCTACAGAATAAGAATGATGAATTAGATATCACAGATCACAGAAATATCTCCAAATTGCAGAATATATTGAAGGCTCTGAGCAATTTCATACCGAGTATGGAAAATAGTGCTCCAGAACCATGCATTCATTGATAAGATTGCATAGATATGCCACAAGCTAGTATATTCGTAGTAAGTTCTCTTGGTCTGGGCTCTAAGAGGCAATTTGTAACTCACTAGAAGGAAAAATGAAAGCCAGCCAGTGAAGTGCGTCAGTAGGTTGATAGCAGATAGTGCAGCTGAAAGGGGTTCCTGATAGACCATGTCAGATTTAGTTGAGACGTCGCCGAGAACTAATGATAGAAATAGTTGTTTCACACTCGGGATCTCGTCAGAACTAGGCATACCTGGAACACAGAAACACGTAAGAATGGCCACTTTCCATGATATTTAACGGGGCTCAGACCAAGTGACTGTCGTTCCCCTTCTCTTTGCATCATGCAAAAGTAGCGACAGTCTGTCCTACAGTTCAGTTGTTTCCACTGGATGTAAATTTGCTCCTGGTTATACCAAGAGCCTCCAACAGAAGTATCGTTCTCTTTGGACTGACAATGGCTGATGACGTTCTCCCCAATAATCCCTGTAGTTTGACACTCCCTCACGCAAGTTCTGAAGGTTGATCAGAAGAATAAAGATTTTCATAATCTCTTAATAGTAGTAAGTTGAAGTAATTCATAAAGCAAAGGGCTCAGCATGAAATTGATGAGGATGGACAAATAATGTGGCTTTTCAGTTCATATCTTACTTATGGCAAATGGGAAGCCAATAAAATATAAATGTATTCAGCTAGTGTTTCATGAAATTAAATAATGTGAAATGTTACTAAAATCACTTTCAAATTCCAAGAGTGATATTGGTAGTAAGATATGCAAAATGAAAGGAGCCTACAGGAAATAAATACTGCAAACATGGAATATAACCACAACAGGAAAAGGGATTATAATACCTTTAGGCATATCTTACAATATGCCTACCCCAACAACATATGTTATGATCCTTAGATCATTTGGGGTTGGGGGATAACCATTGCCAGGAAGATGGCCAAGCAAAGTCAGCGTGGAGGGAGACTAAGTATTTGGGGGATTGGATTGTTTGTTCTTTCTTCATTGCCCCTCTTCTTAGTACATCACCTCTCGTTAGATAGAGAGAGGACTCCTGGCCACCTAAGGAAGGCCCAACCAAATCAAAACAAATCATATCCAATCCTATCTCTAACTGATCAAATCCCTCTAATTGATCTAATCTAATCTCTTTAATCCTTATTCCTACCCTAGCAAGGGCACTATAGGTCGAGCTACAGTACCGCGGTACTGTTCACACCAGCCCAGGCTGGGCCGTCCTGGGCCCAACACCCATAACACTAGCATTACAAAAAAAGGAAACCATGTGGCTCAACAGAGCAGGAAACCAAGCGTGCCACAAATACTCCCTTCAGGCAACTAGCCTCTACCACCCCGACTCAATGCTTTTGCAGTACGTTGCTTTTATCTGTTGTTTACCTACTTTTTAGAAATAGATCTACTTCTTTTTATGTAATCAAATAATATATGCCATCAACATTATAAATTAAGAAAAGAGAACATAATGATACCATTGGGCATTGGCATTAGCTTCAGATAGAACAGATCTGTTCCTTACAAATTTACATAACAAATCTAGTTAAAATATTTTCTCGAACACGAATCTAGTGAAATTCATCCGAAAAAACTAGGAACAGAATGCATAAGTTGTCTTTTGGACCTTGAGCAGAACATATGCCCAAAGCATGAGAAATGAATAGGTATGAAAATTACAATTTAGCTATGAAATACTAGATACTCCCTCATGTCCGATTTCCAAGGCGTGAAACCTAAAATACAGATACCAAGACGCTCATGAGGAACATTGCGCTCGTGCATAGGATGGTTTACTCATGACAGCTGACGCGCCGAATTAGCCACGCCGCGCTTAATAAGTAGTTAGCCTCCAGAAGTTTGAAGATTTCTTTGTCTACAGGACTGGGTGTATGGCGCCATGCAGATAACTCTTGGCTTCAACAACGTTAATTCCTGCACTTAATGACTCTTGGGATGCCACATGCGCCTTATATAGTAGACTTTTTCCAGAACTCACATATTCCTTACAAAAGGGACTGAGCGAGTCCATATAACAAAAAAACTGCCACAAAGCATGTTATTATTCACTTCCAACTCTGAAACAGCAGTGCTCTGGAAAGTGCTATGCTGGAATTAAAAAAAACACTAGAATGGAGTGGACAGTGGTGTCCTTAAAAGGCTGACGCAGTTAGAATTTTGAAGTCATGCTGATGAGGTATCAAGCATCATCACGCATGTAGGGTCTGTTTGGATTGAACTCTGAGGACAATGTGTTTGGCCTGTAGCATCCCTGATTCCCTGGTGGTTGTTTACCATGTTTGGTTGTTCTCACACCCATTACTCACATTCAGGGCATTGTTAACAGCTATTGATTCACCTATCTCAATGATGCTATCACATATCTCACTTCACCTTGTATATGCCTTCCCCCCTAGTTCAACACAAGAAAGTGGATACATACACATGATGCTCTATGAAGGGTGAAATGTTCTAAAATTACGGTGTATTTATATTTGGAAATCGTATGTACCAGTCCTATACATCTAAGCTAACAAAAATTTGAGCTAGCAATATTTTAGTTTTGTACCATCACATAGGTACAGTAACACTTAATTCAATCTCAGGCTCAAGTACCAAACAAAAAATGGTACAGCCTGGCCTAGCAAAACTCATCGAAGGTTCAGGCTTCCTTCAGGCAGCGCTTTTTCTCAGGCACAATGCTCAGGCCTCCAACTAACCAGGCCCATACACAGCCTAGTGAAGTCACCAACACGATATATAACTCATAGGGTCCGATTCAATAAATTCAAATCTTATTGCATTCTCACATAATAGTACTCCCTCCGTCCCAAATTGTAAGTTGTTTTGGCTTTTCTAGGTACATAAGCAAGTCTAATTCATAATATGCAATCAAGTCCAAATAAGAAATAATTAAGAACAAGCTTCTTCTTCCCAAGTTGATGATGTAATGTTTGCTAGGAGGATCCTACGAGCAAATTGTTGTTACCAATTTACAATACCACGCAATCAAGCTGTTCTAGTAAAGATCATCCCTTATTGCTTCACATCTCTTCTCACAAGACAGTAAGACACTGATATACGTTCCACTTGGCATAGAAAGCAAGTGTTGCTTAATCAAATGACCATTTACTGCAGATTCAGCTATGTGCATATGATCTATTTTGGAGGAGCCCTATTTCAGTTTGATATATTCCTATGTAGCAAACTACCTAGCATGGGAGTAGCGCATCTTTATCTTTACATGGCATAAACAGACCATCGATGCTATGTCATGTCCAAGATTTACAGTACCTACTCCTAGCTAACAGCAGTGGGACTATGAACTCGGAAATCCTAGTCTAGTCCTACAAGAAGCAAGATTTTGCTCCATGCCTTAGGCAACAGAAAATAATTGGTGCATAACTCATTAGTACACACAGAGATGCAGCTCACCTGTAGCGCGGATCAACATCCCCGAGGCTGGCCTCGACGGAGCCGAGCACCAAACCAAACGCGAGAAGGGAAGCCAACCGAACCGCCCAGGTGCTTCGACCCATCGCAGTGGACGCGCCCCAGGGTCCTGCGAAATCCCAGTGAAATCAGGAAGATTAGTTACCCAGGACTTGTAGCAGAGAAAGAGTAAGGAAATCAGGGTGCTTACCTGGAAACGGCAGCCCAGATCTCCACCTCCGAGGAGCCCAATGGCTACACGACAGTACGAACAAAATGGATTGCGCAGGCAGGATGGTGGGGAGCTTCGCGCGGCGGAGCAAGGGGACAATTGAGCTACACGATATTACCCCCTCCACACAGGAATCAAATCCGCGACGAACTCGAAAGAATGGAGCGTCCAAACCAAGCAAGCCAGGAAAGAAGGAAAGAGGGAATTCAAAGTCCGTCGATCTCCTCTCCGCGCGCCAGCCAGCCAAGGAAAGGGGAGCAGGACGAGGACGAGTGAGGAACAGGATGGATGACCACCAGCTCACCAGAGAATAGTCCCGACTCCCTGAGTCCCGACGGGGCGGCGTGCTGACTGTGCTGCTGACCAGTGACCAGCGGAGTGCGGCGGCGTGCGTGATCGTTCGCCTGCTCGGCTGTTAAGTGGGCTGGGCCGCCAGAGTACTGGGCTGGCTGTGACAGCGTATCATGGTCTTGGACTTCTTTGCATAACTCCACCTCACCGATGCCCCCGCCCGCCTCATTTCAGCCAAGTCCAAACCATTCAACCGCCAGTAGCGACAGGTCTCATGGAGGACATCTACCACAGCTTTAGAATACAGTAACCGTCTATGCACATACATCTAACATATGTAAATCGTACATAAATATAGAAGTAATAGTTGGATATAAAAAGTAGTATAACTCTTTCAGAGTATGCCCCATAACAGAGCTAAATGCTTGGCTATAGTTAAATGGTAAGAGTCAAGTTATGCAATAGTTCTTCTATTTATCTATTAAAATTATTTTTATTACTATGCGAACTACTTATTACCAGTGATGGAGCTATAGCAAATTAGAGATGGTACGTTTGCCTTGTATGTGCGAAGATTTGAGTTGCAACTATGATGAAAATTTTGATTCTGGTATTGGTCTTTATTCATTTTTTTAGGGTACACCCGCACCCACAAGCAACAGTATATCTTCGCCATTGCTTCTTACTCTTGTACCACATTCTCTTTCGTATTTCTCATCTTCTACTTGCCATGTGGACCGCTATCTCCTGTGCCCAACTTTCTTGCTTGCATAGGACAATCAAGTTCTTCTTAGCTATACAAGATTATTATTGTACTTGCTCGCATACATTAGATATACATACACATGAATACGTATCGTGAATCTATGATAGGTGCTTATAGTTGACGGTCTCGATCAAATCGCGCCGCGCGCGCGCAGACAGCACAGCACCAGTGACGACGTGCCGTGCGCGCACGCCCCCGCGCCGCTGCAACAGTATACGTGTGGACCGTCGTCGATCAAAAGCAACGCGTGCGCGCATGTATATGCATGGGGCATGGCAGCATTGCTTCACAGTGGCCTGCATGCGTGCTGCCGCGCTAGCTAGGCCGCGTAAAGCCGTGGCCGCCGGCGACGTGCGTGGGCGTGGCTCGAGGAAGGTTGGTGCGTGCGTGGCTGCGTGCGGGGCGGCCGGTGGGTTCGACCACCACGCAAAGCGCGCGCGGGCAGCCGCTCCTCCGCTCCAGCTAGTAGCTTAGATTAGCTCCGGTCAAAAGCTAGCTACTACGTACTGCTCGTCAACCGCGCGCCATGGAATGGAAATAAAGCGCGATATCGATATCCACCGAGTGATCGATGGCAGGGCAGGGCTAGCTAGGCCGTCTTAACAAACCTGAGTATCCATCATTACGAAGCTAATCTACCGATCGGTCGGTGAACTAAAAGCCGGCCGGCCGGCTGGCTCCCCCGTGATGTCGCCGTACGACGTGATCATCATGCATATGTGCGTCGTGATTAGTCAATGCTCACAGGCATGAGTCGCGACCGAAAGTAATTAAGTAGTGCGCACGGCCGGGGTGCCGAGAGGCGAGAGATCATGGCGTTTTGCGGCGCCGCGCGCGAGCGCCGTCTATGCGTGCGTGCGTGCGTGGTCACTCACCGGCCTAGCTCCGATCCGGCCGGGCTCGCTCTTTCTTCGATCGGCCAACAGATTTGCATTTGCCCCGGCCCCGATTCAGTGCATCCCCGGCCCGCTTTCTTTTGGACTCTCGTACGGGACCGGAAGGCCACCACTAATCCCTTGTGCGGCTAGGCTATATAAAAGTAGAGTTTGACCTGAGTGCAGCAAAAGTTTGGGTTGAACGACAACCAACCCAAATGCTCAAAGGTCAAAGCAGTAACGCGCGTCACAACGTAGCAACAAAGTTCACATGGGCACCATTGCCGCCGGCCCGGCCGTGTGATTAGCGGCGATATGATCTAGTACTAGTAGTACCTGAGGGAAAAAGAGGCACGAAATCATGGGCTCATGAGCTCATCGTGGAGGCAACGGCGACGGACACTGCCGCACGCCGGCGCTTGTGTTGTGATTGAAGGACGAACTGCGAAGTGACCGAGCGAATATGCTAACTTTTCTAACTGGGACCAGGACCATTGCAAGGTCTAGGCTACCCAGCTGCTAGTGGAGGAGGGTCGTCGTTCCTGCTGACTGTGAAGCAGGTGTTCCACGTGTCACACTGTGCTTCATCCACTCCGTTGAAACTGACTACAGACCCGTTTAACTTCTCTGATGAAACAACTTTTAATTTCTGGCCCTAGCTTTATTGTCACTATAAGGCCGTTGAGAAAAATGTTTGATAAAACAGTTTCTTTGGTTGTTGAAAAAGATAGAATGTCTATAATACCCTTCTATTTTGTATCTCTTCTTCTTTTCTTCCCTAATTCTTTTTCCTTTTCTCTACTTATTATCTTCACCGCACACATGTTCTTCTCCACCAGGTGGACACCCCTCCTGCCGGCACGCTTCTTCTCCCACTGCATGCACAACTGACCCGTCACGGCGCCACGGCCGACCACTCGTCGTTGTACCGCGCCACCTTCGCCTTGTCTCCTTCCCTCCCCTCCATGCGCGATGTCGCCGTCCCCTTGCACCACGCTAGCCCCATCGCCACATGCCGCGCCATCCTGCTCTCTAGAGAAAGTGTAGAAGCTACAATAGTGTTACTAACAATAAACTAGGCGCGTAACAAAAGTTATGAACTTAGAAAAGCAAGAACAACTTATAATTTATAACGGATGGAGTAATAATTCACACCTGCAGTTTGACGGCGTTAGAGCCCAAACTGACGGCAGTGGCATGGAGGGCACAAAAAAGTTGAAGCAGTGGCGCTGAAGACCGCTGAACTTTTTCAGGGGCACATAGGGCATTGCGATCTTTTTTAATGACACACAAGAAATTTCCCCTAATAATTAGTAGTAACAACAAACCCCAGCATATATTTAATCTGAAAAAACAACCTATATTATGCTTACTAGCCATATACGTTCTCTACGCATATGGAGTAATAATGAGAGGAGCTATGTAACACCTCTGGTGTTTAGACCTAGCACTAAAATTTGACATGTCATCATATGCATTGCAAAGCATTCATAGAGTAGAAAATTTTGAATGCATTCACTAAATAAGGTTTATTTCATAATGTTGTTATTTCATGTGATGTGATTCAAAACCCTAAATAAAGATCATGACTACAAGGGTCAAAATTCATGTGATCATGTGAGGTCATATGTCACTTGACTCAAATAACCCTAATGGGCCATGTTACTGGTCAAAAATCAAAATTTAAGTAAAAGGAAGACAAATCAAATTTGAATTCAAATTCAAATCACAAAAGTCATTTTTGCCCCTTTTGACTAATTCAAAATCCATGTGGAATTTGGGGTTGAGATAAAAAGCAAAGTTGAAGCTTATTTATAAGGATCAAATTTGGTATACAAAGTTTTTAAAGTTTACATATAAAGTTTGGAGTAATTTTGAAATGATTCAAATACTCAAATGCACCCCAAATTCAAATTTTAAAATGGAGGCAGAATTTGAAAATATTCCTTGAAGCAAAGTTGTAGAGTTTGAAAAGTTGAGCAACTTTCATTTTTAGAGATTTTCAACTTCTTTAGAATATTTGTGAGTAATTTGTAAATTAAACGCAGTGGAAATTACAGAAATAATGCAAAAATCAAAATCCAAATGAGAGCCACCTCCCCTTGCTTGCTTGCCACATACCATTTTGCATCATTTTGCGCTTTCTCGGTTGACACGCAGCAAGCTAAAGCTATCGACGCCGGTAGCGTTTCTCCCGACTATAAATAGGAGCACCGCCGCCGCCGTCCTCCGTTTTCTCTCTCGCTTCATTCATACAGCTCATTCGTCGTAGCCACCGTCAAACCGCGTCGGTCGTGCCCAGCTACACCAAAGCGATCGCCTCGACCTTGCGCTCATCTTCGACTTGCTCGCGTCGCTGGTGTTGGCGGAATCGCCCGCGTAACACGTTCTTCCCGAGACCGGCCGAGCTCGCCACCATCGACCTCGGCGTGGCATTCCACCCGTCTCGCTTTCACCAAGCACACCGCGCGTGTGATCGTGGTGAGCTCCCCGAGCGTGATGTTAAACTTAGCTTTTGCCTCTTTTGCATCAGAATAACCGTGGTTGCGTGCGTAACAACAGCTCTCTCCGGTGCACTTGCGGCTTTCAAGGTTGGGATGGATTAGGTGGGGTAGAGTAGGTCATGTAGGTGCGATGCGCTTTCATGAGAACATCACCGCCGACGTGTTTTGGGCGACCGATGATGGCGCCACCGTGTTCTCAGTAATGCGTACTGATCAGAGCGGGACCGGCTGTCAGTGAGAGAGAGAGAATAGTGAGATTTGTTATTTTCTGAAATATGAATAGTGCAGTAACTTTGAAAATTTGTAGGAAATTAATTACAGCTCTAAAAATTCTGAAAATTTGTGTGTAGCTTCTGTACATGTTCTATTATGGTTTAAAAATTTGAAACTTGACATTCGAATAAATTTTTAATGTTCAAAAATTCAGTCAATTAATTGA